CAGCACAGAAAAATTCATATTACAAGAACACATTGGTATTGAAGGAACTAGATACTGTTCCGAAATATCACTTACTCGAACCGTCCTGACCGCGTAGCTCAGTTGGAAGAGCATTGGGCTAGTATTCCAAAGGTCGTAGGTTCGAATCCCACCGTGGCCGGGCATATTTTTCAATTAAGCTCGCCCGGTGTGGATATGCACTCAGAGTAACATCACAAACATATTATTCACCTGAGTACACAACTCCAGCAAAGAAAAAATTCTTGTTATATACTGTTCAACTGTCTTTGATATGGACTGTTTCGTTTCTCAAAATACCATTCTCTCGTATGGAACATTAGCCTGCGGTTTAAAATGCTTGTATAACGCACTTATCGCTTTTACGAAAACATTCGTTCCCTCCGTTTCCTCCGGTATGGTAAAGAAAATGTCCTGCACGCTCATTCCGGATGTGTGAAGCAACAGATTTTTCTTTTGCCCATGATTTGTGATCCCTTTTCCTTCGGCGAATAGTTCAAATGCGCGAAGCCAGCGCTCCCATTTCGCTGCTATTCCCGACGAATCCGAACAATCAACCGGGCCCGATCCGTGTACATCAGTTAACAATTTAGCCGCCATCCTCGTCGCCACAAATGTATACTCGATGTCTTAAACAAGCAAAGGATTCCAACAGATTAAAAGAAAATAAATCTATATTGATAACAGACTCAATCACCATGACAAGAAGAGCATTCTTGCTCCCTTGTACGCATGCGCATTTATACTTCTCCTAACATAATTAACATAATTATGCAAATACAACAATATACTTTGGCAGATTATGAAGGACAGTTCGTTTACTCATGTGATTGTTGGGTCAAATTATTATCAATCTGTGCTAGGGTAATTTTGTCCGTCTTAGGGTTCCATCAAAGACCGAGAACGTTGGCTTCTTCTTCACTTTTGTCCTCTGTGTGGTCTTTGGCAACACGAAAACAAAGTTGTTGGCTGTTACTTGCCCAAGACCTCAGATTAGATTGGCCTTGAGTCATGATGGACCGAGCTTCATTATAATAATCAGTGGCTTCGTCCTCTGTCTCGCATCCCGAAATCAGGTTGTCAACGTAGAGGTTTTCCTTGATGTCTTCTGTCACTTGAGTGCTATATTCTTCTAGATGGTGCTGTAAAGTGGCATTAAGCATGAAGGGTGAGCTAGCGGAGCCAAACAGTACGACTTTGAAGTGGTAAGTGGTAAATAGACATTCGAGATCATTTGGATTAGACAGCAACTGTCGGCAACTGCAATCGTAAACGATTCTTACTGGCGTTGTGGGATAATTCTTGATAACGGGATGAAGCGGAATGTAATGCGTTTCCTTTTCGTTTTCTTGTGGTTCAACTCGTTCAATGAAGCCACGGTTCTCCTGTTCAGTGATTATGTCCCCAATTTGGAGTTCTGAGGATTTTGCAGAAGGTCGGGCAAGTGATCTTGTTCGCCGTTCACACACATTAAAATTCGATGGAAGTGGGGGTGTTCGTTTTTCCAGGGGAATGCAGCAACATATCCACCGTCCTTTTCACGAGTTATTGATGTGTTTTGATAGTCTGCTAGCGGTTCCTTTATTTCTTGACGAGGTGTGGAAAATTATACGCCAAAAGACTCTAGTGTCCAAAACCGTTGAATATCAGGTTCATCAAAATTCAATCATTACGTTCAGGATGCTTGTTGAAGGGGTGGGTGAAGAATTGAAAGGTACAGGTCCAGAAGGAAAATATCCTAGTTTGGACTTTACTGCCACTGGTCACTCCCCTCGCACAATTTCATCTTGTACGAACTGCCAGTAGTAGTCAGCTCCGATGAGGAGAGATATTTAAAATGTGTATCAGAGGTAACTGGGTGGGCAAGTTTAAAGTGAATATGACATTAATACCAATTTTTCACCAAAAATCAGCAAAAATTAGACAATTCGAATGATATATATCATTCCTTGATCGGATAAATACTTCCAGAGATAATTTAGATCAAACAGGCAAAAAAATAGGGTTTTTCAAGACCTGGCCGGGAGAAAAGAGGCTGAGTACGAATCAGGTTTG